TGTGTGTGTGTGTGTGTGTGTGTGTGTTTGTGTGTGTTGTGTGTGTGTGTGTGTGTTTTTGTGTGTGTTTGTGTGTGTGTGTTTATCTGTATGTGTGTGTGTGTTGGTATGTATGTTTGCGTGTGCGTGTGCGTGTGCGTGTGCGTGTGCGTGTGCGTATTCATGTGTGCATGTACACTTGTGAGCATATAAAAGAGTCTTGGCACTTTCAAATATATATGAACATACTCACTCACGACTGTGCACACACAGTACATAGCTATAGCAAAGCATATCTGATACTGACCTTCATGCAGCAAATGAATCAATCCGATGGAAATCATGACACCCGCCCCAAAAGCATTGAAATAGCTTATTACAAGGTTCTGCCTCTGAGCATCTAGTTTTTTCAGTGGAAACACCAGTAGCCCGCACATGCCCACCAAAAAGGTGGTCACAAACGCGACCCAGCGCATGGCAGTGACATCTATCATAATGATATCAATGATTGTGTGGCTTAGTGCGCTTACGAACTCAATACAGAAATAGTTGTGCCTTCCAATTCTCTGCGGGCCACCTATGTATACTTTGTATGACCCGAATGTGCTATGCAGATTTCTGATTTTCGCGCAGATTATTTTTTACTTTTCATGATGTCCGAAAGTTTGGAGTTGAGAAACGAAAAAAAATATGGAACTGTCCTAACCAAACTGACTATCCATTGGCCCACATTACGTTACCTTACTGAAATAATGTGATGGCGTATTTCACTGCGTATATAATCGCCGAGCGGAAAGTAAAACTGAACTACCATTGGCTACAAACTTTCGCCGCACGGAATTTCTACTGACGGCGCTGCATATCATCATCAACATCATCACTCTTTTTTGACCATCAGTGAATTCAGTTTTATTCACAACAGTATAATGATGAATATGTATATTGAGTTCAATCATAGTCCATAATTATTAATAGACCATAACAACATAACCCTCGGTTTGTTTTTAGAAGGCTATGGACTATGGATTATGGACTATGGACTGAGGGCCTATGGTTCATCACCCACATGAAGGGTATTTATTATATGTACATATGTAAATACCGGCTTTCGCAACAATTTTGGCGGCAGATTCCCATCATAAAAATAAAAATAAATACATTATCTATGTATAAAAATTAAAAAGAGCCGCAACCGGCCACTGCGCGACACGCCAATACATATTTTAAAATAACTAACAAATATACAATAAGAGGATTTGACCTGTTTCCTCAGGTCTCAGCGCATCGCAACTCAAAGTTAGAAGATACAGTGTTCGATTGATGCACACAAGATCAGTCGTGATATTCATTAATTGTTTTCAAAGTGATCACATCGTACGATACAAGTCCTCAGCTTACCTAATTTCGGATCCAGTATCCAGAACAGATACAACCTTATCAGCTTCTCTATAGATCTTTATAATGTCTCTTTCATGAGTTCATAATAGGATATAATCATAGTATTTCCAATAAAAATATTATGGAGATGCCCCCTAGTAAGCGTATAAAACTATCGGTGGAACCTTCTGTCCAAGATGGCCTTCTTCGTATTGGTGACGACGGGAATCACGAGTACGAGTCGAAGGATGCTTCAAGTTTCTCAGTTAAAGTTTTGAAAGTGGATTTCAGTGGAGATGGTGAGGCGCCTGAAACGGAAGATACGGCACACGAAGCGGGTATACTCGTGCTACTTATTTATTACATGAATTCAATTCTATCTATTTTCAAGATCATGTTCTGACCAAAATATGTCTTTTTATTACTAAAGCCATCTAACCTGAAGTGAGCGATATTATGTGAAGCATAAATTTGATGAGACAACTTCGGAGACATAGTTACCAAGTTGATAGTAGACGCTGAGTTGTTAGCTGCAGTTACGACTATTTATATATACATATATATATATATATATATTAATATATTATACATTATATTTTACAATACATATACACACACATATGTATATTATATATATATATATATATATATGTGTGTGTGTGTGTGTGTGTGTGTTATAG